GGAGGGCATGGGCCAGTGCATTCTTGGCCTGGGAAGTTGAAGAGAGAGCAAGTGAAGAAAAGGTGAACCATTGGGTCCATATCTACTTCTTCAACTCAGCAAGATTTTGTTTTCATCACTGCAAGCTGATCAGAACTCCTGTAGACCAATCCATCCTTTCCCAACCTCCTCTGGGCCAACTCAGCCAACATCCTTACTACCAACCCAGCGCAACACAACCCAACCCACCCCAACCCAACCTCCCTGAGACCCACCAACCCTACTGAACATCCAGAAGACCCTCAACTCATTTTCTCCCACTGCCCCTCTGAGTACCAAACCAACTTCACCATTGACATTTAGCCCCACTGACCTCCCCAACAAAGCCCTACCTTGGCCTCTTCCTCTAGCTGCCTCTTGAGGTCCTCCAGCTGCTGGGCGTAGGTGAGTTTCCCTCGTGTCATCTGGTTGATAAAGGCTTCCTTTTCCTCCAGCTGCCTGGAGAGCTCACCTGTGGGGTGGAATGGTGGACAGTGACTCACTGGACACACCACAAAGCCACCTCACTGGGCAAAGAATAGTCAGTTGGGTTAGGGAAGAACAAGCCTCTCACCATTTTCTGTCTGGAGCTTAGCTCGTTGAGTGGTAAGGTCATTGACCATGCGTTGAGCCTCCTCGGACTTGGTCCGGTGCTCATTCATCTGATCTTCCATGGTACGGCACATCTTCTCCAGGTTGGCCTGTGAGACAGGAAGGGCAGAAAGTTAAAAGAAAACCTCGAGAGGGCAATGGAAGAGTTGTTCATTCATGGCAGGAGACCTATTTCCTACCTTGGCCTTGATCAGCTGTTCCATGTTGGAGCCGACATCATCTAGCTCCAGCTTAAGCTCACTCTTCTCCTTCTCCAGCTTCTGCTTGACACGCTGTAGGTTGTCGATCTGCTCGCTGAGCTCGGCCACACTGTCGGCGTGCTTCTTGCGCAGTGCAGCAGCTGTGGCCTCGTGTTGCAGGGTGGCCTCCTCCAGGTCTCTCCGCATCTTCTGGAATTCTGCCTCCCGCTTCTTGTTGAGCTCAATCTGCACAGATGTGGCACCACCCGCCTCCTCCAGACGCTCACTGATCTCCTCCAGCTCCCGTGACAGGTCTGAGCGGAGCTTCTCCACCTTGGCCCTGCCTGTTCGCTCTGCCTCCAGCTCTTCCTCCAGCTCCTCAATCCGCGCCTGTGCTCAGAGGATGGAGATGTTGTCAGTGACTTGGTTTCACCCAGCTCCTCCACTCAGTTCAACCAATCAAGCTGGAGAGTCTTTAAGTCATTTCAAGTCAACCCAACTGCATGTGGATTCTTCAGCTCAACCCAGACAACTGGAGATCCTTCACTTCAACCAGACTTGATCCTATTCAGTGCTCTTCAACCCAGTCAAGATTCAAGCTCTCCAGATCAACCCAACCTTATCTAAAGACACTTCACCTTTTCAAACTACCTTGAGATTCTTCAGCTCAACTGGTCTTGAAGACATTCAGCTCAACCAACCCTAGAGCTGCCTGGATCAGACAGCTCCACACAGCCTTCTCAATGGACATCAGAGTTAAAGTGATCCATATCAGATGGTCTGCTCAGCTCAGATGATCCTACCCAAGGTGCCCCCACTACCTTGAATACTCTTGACCCACTGGTTCAGCTCAACCTACCCCAAAGCCAACCTGCCCAGGAGCCCATGAGTCATTTCAAGGTGATAAGTGACAGGAGGTTCTAGGCCAAGGGACAGGCCATGGGCTTCAGACCTCAGGTTTGCGGCATGCTGGTCTAGGTCTTTCTCAAAAGGGTGTGAAGAAAATGGGGAGGACAAGTTCCTTCTCCTGGTTGAACCCTAAGCTGAAGCCCACCTCACCTGAAGCTCTTTGAGCTTCTTCTGGAGCTGGGCTGCAACTGCTTGCTCATCCTCAATTCTGGCATTGAGGGCGTTGAGCTCAAAGTCCTTCCTAGTTGTGGGGAGAAACGCCAGGCAGTCATATTCCTACCTGCTCAGCAGAGAGGGTCATTATAGGTAAAGGACAAGCAGGTGGGTGGGCCCCTACTTTTTCAGCCTCTCATCCAATTGCTGCTTGTCATTCTCCAGGTCCATAATATTCTCCTGAGCCAGCTTCAAGTCACCTTCCAGCTTCCTTTTTGCCCGTTCCAGGTCCATCCGGATCTTCTTCTCCTGCTCCAGTGAGCTCTCCAGCTATTAGTGAGGCAGAGACACACCCATCAGCCCCCCACAAACACCAACCACAGAAGGACCTTCAGACTCCTAGGCACCAGCTATGTGCCTGTGGCAGGACTGACCCACACTCACATCATCCACTTGCTGTTCCAGCTTGACTTTGGCCTTTGTCAGGGTGTTGACCTTGTCTTCCTCCGCCTGAAGGTCATCCAGTGCCTGCTGGTGAGATTCTTGCAGAGCCTTCTTCTCCTTTGTTAGCTTGACAATAATCTCATCCAACCCAGCCATCTCCTCTGTGAGGTTCTTGACCTGCAGGAAGAGAAATGTCAAGCTTTCAGTTTGGTACCAGAGGTAGGACAAGAGACAGAAGTTGTTCTTGCTCTTGGTTGAGCTGGGCCTAAGTCCAGGGACACAGGAGAACACAACCATCCTTGGGTTATCACAATCCAATCAAAGCAGTTTTGGGTCATGACTCAACTCAACCACGCTTCAATTTTGGAAGCCCGAACAGCCTTGGGTCCTGGCAACCCAACCCAACCACCCATGGGTCTTCTCAAAACGTATTCACTTTGGCTCGAGACATCTCAAGTCCCCACGGTTTGAAATCAAGATCTCTCCCCACCCTTACCTTGTTCTCCGTGGCGTGTTTCTCCTTCTCCACCTTTGCCAAAGACAACTCCAGGTCATCAATGTCCTTCTTCAGCTCTGAGCACTCATCCTCCAGCTTCCTCTTCTTAGCCGTCAGCTCTGCATTCATCTCTTCCTCATCCTCCATCCGCTCTGTCATCTCCTTCACTTTGGCCTCCAGCTGGATCTTGTTCTTGATCAGCTGGTCACAACGCTCCTCAGCGTCAGCAAGGTTGTCTTGCTCCTGGAAGGGGGAAGATTGGTGGGAGGGTGAAGGAAAAAGGAGGGAGGGGCTGGGGCATCTAGGTCACTTACAGCCTGCACTTGGAGCTGAAGGTCATTCTTCTCCTGCAGCATGGAGACCATTTTCTCCTCCAGCTCCTTCCGCCGGGCCTCTGACTTCTCCAGGGCCTCCTTAAGCCGCCCAAACTCTTCCTTCATGTTCTTCAGGAGGCACAAAGGTCCCCTGTAAGTCTCATTGCTTCCTCTATGTCCCCACATACCCTCCCCTCTCCCTATCTGCCCACCCACCTGCCCCACCTATGGCTCTGTCCTACCTGCATCTCCTTCTCAGTCTCAGCGCTCTTCAACAAGGGCTTGATCTTGAAGTAGAGCTTCATCCAAGGCCAGTTTTTCACCCCCATGAAAGCCCTGATGTTCCACTGGATCACCAGCAGCGAGTCCCTGGAGAAGGCACAGTAGGATGCAAGTCACCAGCAATTTCAACTCAAGCTAGACCCAACACCATTTCAATCTCTACCTACCTCCGCTCCAGGATCTTCTTGAACTCCTGACGGGAGAGGAAACCACGAACTTGAGCCTGTAAGCGGGTCATGATCCTGGCCAGGCGCTCATCCCGCATCTCCTCAAGTAGCCCCAGCAGCCCAGCCTTGAAGAAGACCTACAAGGAGAAATGAAGCTAAGTGCTGCTGAGACCTGGAGGCTTGGTGGAGGAAGGGGTGGGTAGGGTGGATGGGGTGAGCTCAGGTGTGCAGGTGAACAAGTGGATGGTGGGACCATGGAGTCAACCTGGTACCACCATGGAGACCTTGTGTATGGTGGGACCACAGGGAATGGAGACCACATGACCTCACCTTGGTGTGCCCAAACTTATACTGGTTGTGGTCAATATCAAGGGATCCCAGGAGCTTCTCGGCGCCCTTGCGGCTGTCGATGAACTGCCCCTCAGGGATGGCAGCAGGGTTCAGGATGCGGTACCTGGTAATCAGAGAGGACAGAAAAATCCTGAGATCAGCCCCAGTGGAGTTGACAACCCTCTTCCCACATGTCCTCAGTGCCTACCGCTGTCGGAAGTCCCCATAGAGGATGCGGTTTGGGAAGCCCTTGCGGCAGATGCGGATGCCCTCCAGCACCCCGTTACAGCGGAGCTGGTGCATTACCAGGGGGTTGTTCATCACACCTGTGAGTCATCATGACTGGTGAGTCAAGGTCTGCCCCACAGTGTGGCTTCCCAACACCTTTGGCCAGGGACCACTGCTGTTCCCTGAATAAACCCTCATGAATTGGCTCACCAGGAGACTTGGTCTCATTGGGGATGATGCAGCGGACAAAATGAGGGTGGGTAGACCGCAGGTTGGTCATCAATTTGTTGAGGTTCTCCTGGGGGATGGAGGAAGAGATGATGAAGAAAATGAAGATGCCCCCCAGCCTGTCCCAGCAAGGACCACTATCTGCCCTAGGACATGATTTTCATGCCCAAACACCCTAGGATCCACCATTAACCCCTGGACTCTCACCCGATGCAGGGCAGAGACAGTCTGGAAGGAGGAACCTTTCTTCTTGGCTCCTTTCCCCTTCTCCACGGCTGTTGGAGAAGAAGTGATGAGACAGGTGAGGGATAGGGTGGGGAGAGCCCTAGATGTTCAGGAAGGGGGTGCCCCTTACGTGCATCAGCCCCGGCATAGTTGGCGAAGAGGTTGGCCAAGAGCTTCAGGGCTGATTTCTGGTAGAGCCCCACCACTGTCTCATTGAGGGGGTCTTTGTTCTTCTGCAACCACCCAATGATATTGTAGTCTACCGTGCCAGCATAGTGTACGATGGCAAAGTGGGCCTCTTGCTTCCCCTTGATGTTTCGTGGCTTCCCAAAGTTGGCTGACTTGCCCAAGTGATTATCAAAGAGCTTGGCCTTGAAGGTCATGTCTGTGGCCTTGGGGAACATGCATTCCTCCTCCAGAATGGACATGATCCCCATGGGCTGGGAAGAGAAGACCTTGTTGGTCATAGTGAACACCAAGAACAACCCAACTGCCCAACTTTGAGATCTCTGGCAAGCTCCACCTTGAAGGGCCCTTCCCCAGCAGCCCCTTCAGCCCCCAAAGGCCCTAGAGGGAAGTGGCACCTTCTCAATGAGGTCAATGCAGGCCTGGAGGTCCATGCCAAAGTCAATGAACTCCCACTCAATGCCCTCCTTCTTGTACTCCTCCTGCTCCAGCACGAACATGTGGTGGTTGAAGAACTGCTGCAACTTCTCGTTGGTGAAGTTGATGCAGAGCTGCTCAAAGCTGTTGAACTGGGGAAGGAGAGAGGAGATGGCCAATGGGGTCAACAGAACACCTAACAAGATCTTTGCAGTCAACCTGAGACCCAATGAACTTAACAGAATAACCAGTGAAAACGGGATCACCTGACTGTCTAGTAGGGTTAACTCAACACCCAGTGGGGTCAACACAACAGGGTCAACCAAGGCTCACATCAAAGATCTCAAAGCCAGCGATGTCCAGCACACCAATGAAGTACTGCCGTGGCTGCTTGGTCTCCAGGGAGTTGTTGATCCTGGTCACCATCCAGTTGAACATCTTCTCATACACAGCCTTGGCCAAGGCCCCAACAGCGTAAATCACCTGGAAGAGGGACATTCCACTGGTCAGAAGGGGTTCTCAGTGTCCTCCTTGATGGAGATGGCACCATGTGACTCCAAAGGGAGGAGGTTTTGGGGATGTCCTACTCACCTGCTGGACATTCTGCCCCTTGGTGACATACTCATTGCCCACCTTGACCCGAGGGTGGCACAACCCCTTGAGAAGATCAGCTGAGTTCAGCCCCATTAGGTAAGCTGACTTGTCCGCCTCTGAGGATGCAGAGGAGAAAACATGAACCTGGAAGGACCATGGGGTTCACCCTAGTTCCCACCTTAACCTTGATTGGACCCAACCTTCGGTGCCATCTGGTTCTGCCTGCTCTTCCCGTTGCTTCTGCTTGAACTTCATGTTGCCAAAGTGCATAATGGCACCTGTCAGCTTGTAGATTGAGTTCTTCTCCTCTTGGGTGAAGCCCAGAACATCAAAAGCACTCTATGGGGCAAAAATGTGGATTAAGGTCTTCTCCAGCCCACACAGACACACACACACACACTGGCTAGTGGCCCCTCATCTCACATCCGTGGCCAGGAGCTCTTCTGCATCATCAATGGATGGCACTGTGGTCTCTCCTTGGGAGATGAAGGCATAGTCGTAGGGGTTGTTGGTCACCAGCATCATATCTGCAAGGAGAAGATGAGGTTGGGATAGGCAAGAGTCTTCCAGAAAGGATGCAGGGTCAAGTGTTTGTGGGTAGGGTGGGAGCATGGCTCACCCAGCAGCTCTGGCTTCTTATTGGAGAGGATCTGGTAGTAGATGTGGTAGTTTCTTTCAGCCTTCAGCTGGAAGATGACACGGGATTTCTCCAGAAGGTCTGAGGTGGAAATGGAGAGAAGATGAGTGGAAGTTGGGATGAGGAGATGGAGGGTCAGATGGATGGATGGATGGAGGTTTGAGGAGATGGAGGGTAGATGGATGGTAGGATGAGGAGAAGGATGGGCATGTGGATGGAGGGATGGGTGGATGGACAACCAGATGTCCTCTCATGGAGCCCTCAGCCTACTCACAGGTCTCAATGTCAGCTGATGCTAATTTCCCAGTGGCCCCAAAATGGATCCGGATGAACTTCCCCTGAGAAAGCAGTGGCAGGAGGTGGAGGTGGCCACCTTTTCCCCCAATCCACAGACACCACCCCCGTAGGTTTCACTCCCAACACTCACGAATCGCGATGAGTTGTCATTGCGAACAGTCTTGGCATTGCCGAAGGCCTCCAAGGCAGGGTTGGCCTGGATGATTTGGTCTTCCAGAGTGCCCTGGTAGGATAGGACAATGTGGTGGGACTGTCACAGGGAAGGGCAGGAGTTGGGGCTGTGAGGTTGAGATGGATGGGTGGGAGGACACAGAGGTCCATATAGGTTTGCATGGGCAGGGAGCTGTGTTGATGCCATGGGTGGATGGAGGGATGGTTAATTGGAGGGATGGAGCTGGAACAGATGAATGGAAGGGTGGATAGATGGTTGCTTGGATGGATGGTTGGTTGGGTAATTGTTTGGGTGATACGTTGTGTGGTTGGTTGGAAAGACAGGCATCAGATATTGTCATCCCCCACCCAGTGCCCTTACCTTGCCTGGGGCCCCCGTCTCCTTCTTGCCACGGTCACCAATGGCAGCAATGACAGCGAAGTACTGGATGACCCTCTTGGTGTTCACTGTCTTCCCCGCTCCGGATTCTCCGCTGAGGGCAGCCAAGGAAAGCAAGGGCTGAGTGCCGTGGGCAGGGCTATGATGCTAGGGGTGAGAACTCACTGGGGAGGGAGTGGGACTTGCAGTAGGTGGACAGTGGATATCCACAGACAAGTCCAGGTGGTGAGAAAGGGTTGGCTGTGCCAGTGGGCATGGCTTCAGAGGGAGAAGAGAAGGGGCTATGTGCCAGGTGAGCAGGGCCAAGGACATTGTTTAGATATGAGGTCACTCACGTGATGAGGATGGACTGGTTCTCCCGATCTGTTGGGACAAGGAGAAGAAGCATGAGGTTCTGAAGTCCACCTTGGCTCTGCGCCACATCTTCTGCTCCCCAAAAAGGATCAGGGGATATGGTTGAGGTCCCTGCAGGAGGCCCGTACCTGTCAGCATGTTCTGGTAGGCATTGTCAGAGATGGAGAAGATGTGGGGTGGAGCTTCACTCCGCTTCTTTCCCCGGTAGGCAGCCACCACCTCAGCATTGTAGACAGGCAACCACTTGTAGGGGTTGACAGTCACACAGAAGAGCCCTGAGTAGGTCTGGAGAAAGAGGTAGGTGGGTCAGAGTCATGAGATGCCACCCCACCAGGGGTCCAAGGGGTCTGCAGAAGTGACATCTTGTATCTAAGTGGCCCAAGGGGTCTGGAGAAGGGATGTCTTGGGTTTAGGTGGCCCATGTGACTTGGAGATGGGACATCGTGGGTCTGAGGGACCCAAGAAGTCTGGAGAGAGGATATCCCAGTTCTGCATGGCTCCTAGAATCTGGAGAAGGGATATCCTGGTTTCGAGTGTCCCAAAGGGTCTGGGACATCTTGGTCTAGGTGGCTCAAGAGGTGTGAAGAAGGGACATCCCATTTATGGGTGCCCCATGAGATCTGGAGAAAGGGTATCTTGGGTCTATTTGGCCCAATGGGTCTAGAGAAGGGTTATCCAAGTTTCAGATGGGGTCTGGAGAACCTCATTGGCTCCCAACTCACATAGATCATCCAAGAGGCGTAGCGCTCCTTGAGGTTGTAGAGGACGGCGGGCTCATGGAGGAAGGTCAGCATGGCCATGTCCTCGATCTTGTCAAACTTGGGGGGGTTCTGCTGCATGATCTGGTCCTCCTTGACCGTCACTGTCTGCTCAAGGTAAAGAGGACACCAGGGTTTGGGAGGACAGGGCAAGAAATTGCCCCAGGTTTTTCCTCCCGTAGGGCTGGGACCTGGGCATCTGGGTATTTCCTTGGGAGCTGGAGAAGTTCTAGGTGTCCCTCAAGTGATAGAGAATATGGTTTGGGGTATGGGTGTCCCTTCGTTGATGGAGAGGGTAGGAGGGAGTCTAGGTGCCCAGTGGGTGCTAGGGTAGGGGAGTAAGGGTCTAGATGTTTCCTGGGTTCTAGAGGAGATGCTGTGGGGTCTGAGAATCCAGTGGGTGCTGCTGAAGGTATGTTGAGGTCTAGATGTTTCTTGGGTTCTAGAGAAAGTGGGTTGGGTTCTTTGTGTCCCATGTGGGATGGAGTTACTATTTTGAGGTCCTGGTGTCCCAGGTGTGGCTGGGGTGCCCCCACCTTGCCATGCTCGGTCTCAGCAGTGATCTTGGAGCCCTCACGGCTGACAATGGTGGCCTTAACATATTCCTCCTTCTCATCAGGAACAAAGATGTCCTTCTTCAGGTCGAAGGGGCGGGTCTGGGCGGCCACTCTCTCCTTCTCAGACTTGCGGAGATAGGGGGCGGCCTCCCCAAATTCAGCCATCTCCACGTCAGGCATGGTAGCGCTGGGTGAGGCTGTGTGGGGCAGAAGGGATCAGACCCTCCCAATGCTGCCAGTTCCTCCCAGTTGACCCCATCCCAACTCCTTCCTTGGTTCATCATCCCCTGTTCTTCTCCATATGTCCCAGTTCCTCCTGGTTGCCCCCCGCCCCAACCTCTGTTCCTCTACAGAGCTCCCAGTCCTCCCATTCAGCCCCATCTGAAGTCCAGCTTTGGTGGTGGTTTCATCCTCCCCCATCCTTCTCCACTGCTCCCAGTTACTTTCTAGTGCTCCCAGTTCCTCCCAGTTGTCCCTATCTCCATCCCAAGTTCTTCCGTGGCAGTCCAAGTACCCTCCCTAGTGCTCCCAGTTCCTTTCAGTTAAGCTGAGTTTCCCCAGTACCTGCCCTTTACACCACCCCAGCACCTCCCAGTACAACCCAGTACTTCTCCATCCCTCCCAGCCCCTCCCAGTTCCCCCAGACACCCCTCAGTTCCTTCCAGTGCTCCCAGTTCCCAGCCCCACCTCTCTCAGTGATCTCCGAGTCAGGGGATGATAGTGCAGACTCAGGGGGACTCTGGTCCTGGTCCAGAACACAACAAGCCCCCCACTATGTCCTAGTATGTCCCAGTATATCCCAGCATCCCCCTCAGCCCCACCAGCAATTCTCCACTACACCAGCACATACCACCTCACTCACTGCCCCCTTCCCCCCCACCAAGTACTGCTCAGTGAGTTTCAATATCCCCACAGGATTTATCCAGTACCCTCCCCCAGTATCATTCCAGTCCCTCCTAGTTATCCCATAGACCCTCCCAGCATCATCCCAGTCTCTCCCAGTTCCCCCACAGACTGTCCCAGTATCATTCCTGTCCCTCCCAGTTCCCCCATAGACCCTCCCAGTTTCCCCATAGATCCTCCCAGTCCCTCCCAGTTCCCCTATAGACCCTCCCAGTATCATCCCAGTCCCTCCCAGTTTCCCCATAGACCCTCCCAGTTCTCCTCTAGGCCCTCCCAGTCCCTCCCAGTTCCCCCATAGACCCTCCCAGTTTCCTCCCAGTCCCTCCCAGTTCCCCCATACACCCAGTTCTTTCCCAGTCCCTTCCAATTGTCCCCAGTCTCCCATTAGCCCCCTCCCAGACCCTCACAGTGCTCCCGGTGCCCCCTGCCCCACCTGCCCCTGGATCTGCAGGCACTGGCTGGGGGATCCCCCTTATATCCCCCCCTCCCCCCCCAGCTGCGTCACTGGGAAGGGGGGAGGGCGGGCATGGACAGACAGGTGACCTCAAGGCCGCCCTACTGCCCTATGGGGACATGGTGACCCCTATGGATCTACAGGACACTCCCCACTTCCATAGGGGCCCCCTCCGCTTCGTCATCCTATAGGACCCTCGCTGCCCCAAGGGGTCCAGTCACCCCTTTGGACCTAAAGAGCTCCCCCAGCCCCACAGAAGCCCCATATCTCACCCCCACAGGGCCTCTGTAGTTCCCCCTTACCTCATAGGACACACTTTCAGCTCCATAGGTCTCCCCCAGTTACATAGGACACCCCTCTTGCACTATAAGAAATCCACAGGACTCTACTCAGGGTTCCCATATTTCCCTCCATTTCACCCCTGTAATTCCCCCCAGCCTCATAGGGCTCACTCTCAGTCCTATTGGGTGTCCCCCCACTGCCAGTCCCGTGATCCTATAGGACCCACTCCCAGCCCCACAGGACCTCTATATGTTCCCCTATAGAATCCTTACAGCTTCCCCCATAACACCCACTCCTAGCCCCGTAGAATCCCCACAGGGCTTCCCCTAGCCCATACGACACCCCCCTCTCAGTCCTGTAGGGGCCCCCTGTAGCCCCCCTCCTCCCCCCTCCACGGTTTATTATGGGATGAATGAGGCAAGCCAAAAGGCTTGCCCAGATGCCCAAGTTCCCCCTCTGGGTGGAGGAGGGGACAGACAGACAAAGGACAGGTGTGACCCCCCTTCCCCCTCGAGGGAACTCAGGCATCTGGGCCCTTCCTCCCATCCCTTTGTTCCCTCCCCCTCCCCCCACAATGGGATATTTTTGGGACATGCCCTCCCCAGCTCCTGACATCCGATCAGTTTGTGACGCCAATGGGGCTGGGGGGCACCTTCACCTTGTAACCATATATGGGGCTGGCCCTATAAGTCCCCCTTTCCCCCCTCTCGACCCCCATATCTCACCTAAGAATAGCTAGGTAAACGCAGACATCCAGGCCCCATAGATGCCACTAAACTCCCTATAGGGGACTCAGGTGTCTGAATTTCCCCTAATTTTCCCAGTTTCCCCCAAAGTTTCCTGATTTCCCCCCAGATTTCCTTGTTTTCCTTTGATTTTCCTAAATGTCCCCCAATCTGCCACAAATTTCCTTGGTTTTCCCCTGTTTTCCCCAAATTTTGATCAATTTGCCCTGAGTTTCCTTGGTGTCCCCTGATGTTTCCCCAGATTTCCTCAGTTTTCCTGCAATTTGCCCCAAATTTCCTTGTCTTCCCCCTGATTTCCCCAAATTTCCACCAAATTTTGTTTACCCCAGTTTCCCCCTAATTTCCCCCTTTTTGTTAATTTTCCCTACATTTCCCCTAATTTCTCCTAATTCTCCCCAGATTTCCCCAAAGTTTTCTTACTGTCTTTTTTTCACCTAAATTTCCCCTTATTCTCCCTCAGTTTGCCCCAGGTTCCCTAATTTTTCCATTATTTCCCCTACACTTCTCTAAGTTTTTATAGATTTTCCCTGATTCCCCTAAATTATCTTATTTTCCCCAATTTCCCCAAATTTGCTCCAGTTCACTCCAGTTTCCCCCCAAATCCCCAATTTCTCCTAATTTTCCCTGAATGTGTTTTAATTCCCCCAACTAAAATTTATTTCCCCAATTTCCCCAATTTTTCATCTTTTTCCCATGATTTTTACTACTCTACCCAAGTCTCCCCTTATTCCACCAATAATTTGCCCCAATATCCCTTTATTTTCCCCAATTTCCCTAATTTTTCCCTTTATTGCCTCTATTTCACCCTAATTCCCCCTGATTTTCCCCAGTATTTCCACAATTTTTTTATTTTCTCCAAATTTTTCATCATTCGCTCCAGTTCTTTATTGGATATGGGGGAAAAGATAGCGGCAGGGATGAGGAAAACACTGAGTTACTTCATGCCTCCTTGGCCTCAGTCTTTAATAGTAAGACCAGTTGTTCCCAGGGTACCCAGGACCATCAGCTGGAAGACAGGGATGGGGAGCAGAACAAAGTCCCCATAACCCTAGGGCTGTGCCACCCAGGCACTTTGCTACCAAATAATTCCTTCCCTGGAATGTGTTCCTTGTCCTTCAAGAAGCTCCTCAACCTCCTGGGAAAGGCAAGGTCAGCCACTGCTACTCCCTTGGCTGAAGAGCACTTGAGTTGAACTTGATTTTGTCTGACAGAGCTAGAACTTTTCTTGACTTTACTTTTGACAATTGCGCTTTTTGTGTCGCTCCAGACAAAACCTCTCTGGGCTTCCAACCCCCTCCCACCCCCACCCACTCTGTAATGACCGAGCTTCCTTTCCTGGCACTTCTCTTCGGTGCCAAGAGCACTCTCATCTCTTCTCTTTGACTATTTGTGTTCCTGACCATCATACCAAGCTGTTTCTGTGCTGCCCCATCTGCCATCCATACGTGCTTCCCTCCAAGTGCTGCCAGCTGCCATCAGAGCCACCTCCCACCCACCCCAGCCGTGCTCCCCTGCCGGTTTGCATCGCAGGCGCGATGGGCTTACACTCAATCTGGGGAAAAGAAATAGGATTTATTGCCAGGTAAAATTGACCTGACCCCTTTGCCCCTTCTTTGGCGGGATCCCTATGGGACCTGACTCGATACAGGCAGTAACCATGGCTGGGGTTCCACAATGGCCTTGCAGCCTGATGTAGTTCTGGAACCCAGAGGGCTCCTTATGAAACAAGATAAAATGAACAGCTTTTTCCTCTCTGCCGTGAGGCTGCTGACAGAGCAGTGATGCAGAGACCAGATATACAAATACAGTCTGCTGAGATGGTTCTTTCTTTACAGTACCCCCTTGAGGAAGGCCCAAGACCGGATGGAGAGAAAGGTATAACTAAGGCAACTCTTCTTCCCACCACAGCACTCTCTTCCCCTACCAGGATGTGTGAGACAAGAGGAAAAGGAAGTGTGGCCATACACAGAGCCTATTCTAGCAGCACCAGCCTTTTGGCTGGCTATGACAGGGAAGTAGAGGAGGATACACAATGGAGAGAGGAGAGAAATCTCTGTGTCAAGCCTTCTGCAGTGAGCCCTTCCTTACACCTCCAGTAGAGCCTGGGACCTCAGCTTCCTGGAGCGCATTCTTGGCAATGGCCTTTATGCTGCCCTTGTGGATGGAGTCCTATACTTCACTCTCCAAAGAAGGGATAATGGATGATATTGATACAAGAATGAGTTAACAAAGTTCAGTGGCAAGCGTGACAGTGACTTAACAAAAAACCACTCAGTACACTTGAGTGTTTACTGCAGAGAGGACAGGGTGACACAAATTTCCCTTGACCTTGAGGAGTCCCCTTTAGAGCCATCCCTGCTCAAGGGAAGATCCTGGCATGCAGCCCACCGTTGTGCAGGAGAGCTCAACAGGCCCAGGGCTGCCCACTATTTATGGAATAGGATGACTCATGGTCATATCTGCACACCAACTACAGATGTTTGTTTCTTCCAGCCTTGGTGCAGTCAGACCTGGAACGGCACTGCGGGTAGGGCAGTGTGTTATTCAGATTGGCCGCTGGCCATGCTGTTGTTCTCTGTCTCCCTTGAATCCACTTGGGGTGGACACAGCCATCACCACCAGACGTGTCCATGACAACCAATTGCCACTTGTGTCACTCGGTTTACTCCCCCTTCTCACTGGGAAATAAAGGTCAGGTTGTGGCAGGGGGAGCACGCCTCACAGCTCCATCACAGGTGACAAGCCTCTTCCTGGAGCTGACGTAGGGTCAGAGCTTCACTCAGTGCTTCTCCTAACTTGTTTTCTGCAGACCAAGAAAAAAAAGAACAACAGAGAGACAGGCACAGCTGTGGCTGGCTGCTCAGAGATGTGGGAATGAGCATGAAGCAAGAAGCAGGAGGCAGTTCCTATAGAAAACAGCAATGGAAACCACAGGTGCATAGCTTTTTCTTTTAAAAGCAATCTCGAGGCAGCCAACAGATGCACAGCATGCTGATAGTGTGCATGTCTACCCAGTCTAATCTCACAGTTCCTGCTGTGTGTGTAGCTCAGCAGAGACAGGGAAGGCTGCATACTACAAAAAGCAAGGGAAAGGGCTGCTGTTGCCAAGTGTTTCCTCTCAACAACAGTGCCGTCCTCTGCTTTGCTGCTTGTTACCTGCCCTGAACAGGTCCTAATGAATGTCCTGGCCCACTCTCACCTATTGCACCAGCCCTGAGCTCCTTAGTCCTTCTGGGCACTCTCCAAAGACCTCCTCCCTGTCCGCTTGGGCCTGAAGCAGTTCTGCTCACAGAAAAATTTCTGAAATGGGAGCATGCTGAAGGCTGGGGCAGCAGGACTCTACTGCTGATCAAAGCAAAAGGACTCAAGTCTTCACACCAAGCCAGTGCTTTGCCTAAACCTTCGTAGGCCTAGTTCTGCCTCATCACTGCTCTCTGCCAGCTGTGCAATACCACGGGTCATGGAGACACTGGTGCTGGGTCCACCTGACCTTCACCTGAATGTCTAGGGTGGCCACTGCACCCAGCCCTGGCCACAGGCTGTGAATGAGCAGCACTGTTTGCTCTGGAGTTACACTGGCAGAACCAGCCTTGACGTGAAGAAACCCCAGCATCACCTGCTGTTGGAAGGGTCAAGCACAGGAGGAGACACAGGCCCAGCACATTGCTGCTGTCCTGTGGAGGTTTTCTTCACCAAGTTGTCCCACACGGTAAACACCTGTCGACACATGCCAAAGCTCTCCTTATGCTTGGAACTCAGTCTAAGACAGGGTCAGGCCTCAGGGTGCCTGCTTCCCTTTCTGTAGTCACAGTGGTGCTACAGAGGATGCAGCAGATGGACATTCTTCCCCCTGCAAACATGCTCCTGGTCCTGCAGAAGCTCCTCAATCCCCTGGGGCAGGCGAGGTTGGCCACTGCCTCTCCTTTAGCTTCAGAGAACTGGCGTAGCTCTCCTGGGGAAGATAAGTCCCACCTTTGTTGCCCCACACTCACTTCCTCTGAGGCAGGGCACACTGGAATACCCCTGTCAGCAGCTTTCTGCTCTTGGCTGGGCTCCTCTAGCCACAGGAGGGGAGGTGGGCCAAGGCAGAACGGAGCCCTGCGGATCTCCTGAAGCACACTTCGAGCTGTAAGCTGTAGAGAGAGTCATCAAAAGAGAACAGATAGACAAACAGCACCAGGGTCTCTGTCTTCAGAGCCTTTGTTTTCCTACAGCACAGCAAGAAGGAAAAATTGAAGCTGATCATATCTGTGCAGTTCAGCAGCATATTCAAGAGCAGCAGCCTTGAACCTGGCATTCCTGGCTAGAGGATCAGCTTGGTCCTGCACAAGCTTGAGTTGGTTGTGGAGTTTTCACCAAGTGCACCAGGGGTCACCTGGAAGGGCATTTGGCATTTGTTAGGGTCAAAGGACTCTGGCTCCAGAGCCGGATAAGGAACTGCAACAAAAGCTGTGGCCAGACCTCACATCTGTAGGGGTGGAGAGGAATTCTTTGGAAGTGGAAGGGACATAATGAATGCCCATTCCTCCTGTCCGCCATCTCATTGGTACT